ATGAAAAAAAGAGGCCCAGCTCTTACATAAAAATCTGGCAAATGTCACTACAGCATTGATTAAATGGGCATATCCCGATGTCTGTGTGTGTGATTGAACTCCAGGCTAGCTCAGCCTGCTTGGAGAAACCTGCAACATCAGGTTGGTGGTGACCCCAGGGAAGGGCCTTTCACCCAGAGGACACTGTGCACTTGTATGAGGAATGTCTCGCCAGACAAGCTCCTGCAGCTATAGGTTGGTGTTCTTCCTGCAGCCATTTTAGAAGATGTGGTCATTGCAGACAACGTGAAGGCCAGAATGTCCATTTGAAGTTCCACGCTCATCTGTTACCGAGCTCCATCTGAATGTGCCACGGAGTTTGCTCTCCAGCTCCTCAATGCAAGCAGCCCTACCATGGCCAGCCCTTCCTCCCTCGGCACAGTGTAACCCTTTTCAGGGTTTGGAATTGGCAGGACTCCAGCCATAGCCAGCACCAGTCTGGGGTTGCCAACACCCTGCTGGCTGCTTCCTTCAGAGCACCCAGGCCAGGAACAAGACGGCTTCCCTATCCCTCTGGACTCAGCCTTTGCGGAGTCAGGCTCCATTTGAAGCTCACTCAATATCCTTTACATGTGTTTTATATTATTTTGACTGCCTTTTTTTTGTAGAAATAAAAAATTGACCTTAGAATTTATCATCAGATGAACTTGTAAGGATTTGAGTATTAATGTCTTTTTCAAAGCAAGTGAAACTGTCCCTGAAACAGTAGAGAATACCTGTCACTGACACTGAGGAAACCAATGGTCCAAATGCCTTGTGTCACCAACTCCACTTCTGATACTGGTGGCTTCCCCTTCTTGGCTGTTGGGGGAGAATAGATCCTGGGAAGACTTTAAAAGCATTGTTTTTGGTTCTATAATTGGAGACCTTTCTGGGTCTCCAAGTCTGTAAGAGCTTGATTTTAACTGCATAAGTGGGAAGTGATGGATAGGGTAGGTAGCATTTCATTGCTGAGTTGTTGGGTGCATTGCCCCTGTGGTCTCAATGAATTCAGCTTTTATAGTGCTAGGTACGAAAGGGCTAGGTTCTTGGAAGACCCCCCAGTGTGTTTGAGGTCACAAGTATACCAGACCGGCATTTCTCAATCTGTTGCACTAGCAGAAAAATGATGGACTTCATTTCACTCATGCAGATTTGTAATAAAATGCCAAATTCTGCCAGAAGCTGTCCAAATAAGACACTATTTGTTTTTATTGCTTCTCTGAATCCAGAAATATTGCCATTCTTGGAAACTGTCCCTTTGCTTCATATTTCTACCAGCACAGCTCTGCCCGCCTGTCACCCCCACTTATCTGCTCACCACGGGAGGATATCTTTCTCAAAGCCGGCAGCCCCCCCTCAGGGACTCTCAGCAGAGGCCTGGCCCTTGGAGATTGAGGCAGCAGGTGGTCGTCCCCATCTTGGCCCTGGGCAGCTTGTTTCATTTAGTGGCCAGTACTGTGTGTGGCTAAGCCCTTGGCAGGCTTTAAGTGTGCTGGCTGGCAGCCCTGGCTGTTCAACAACCAAACAGCTGGATCCACTGGAGAAGGGGAGAGCAGCCACTGCTGACCTGAGCCCACTCAGGAATTCACCCTGTCAGGTTCTAGAAGTGAAGTGTGCCGGGTCCTCCCTGTCCTCCCAGCTCTTCCCCCAAGACAGAGAATAGGCTTTCTAAGATGCTGCAATCTGGGTCTGCTGCCCTTAATAAAATGCTCTCCGATACTGGTTTGGTTGTGTGGGTTTCTTCCTTACTGGGGGTGGGCAGTGCCAGGTACCTGTGCTTTTATGGGGGCTGGGCGGTGGGGGCCCAGGTCCTTGAGCAGCTAATCAGGCAATTTCTGCCTCCTTGCTCCTTTGTTAGAGATACACAAAGTGTTCTAGTCATCTCCGGGGAACGGAAAAAGTTGTTGGGTCCAGATCATTGGAAACCTCTGGGATATCTACGAAGGGGACCACCTCCATATCCACACACATCTCTTGAGTCTGGTGAGCCAAAGGAGGACCAGACTAGGACCCCAGAAGTTTGGCTGTCTTGATCAAGATTTTGGAACTGTGGAGGATATACTTGAGGATTCAGTGAGCTGAATTATTCCAGTCAAGCCACCTTCCCAGGTGTCCCTGGTGGCCTTAGCTCAAATCTTAGCCCTGCCACCACAGTGGCCTGTGGGAGCTGACCCACATGGTGCAGCAGACCTCTCCTGTTTAACCCTCTGCTTCTCAAGCAGTGTATTTAGGTAAATCTGCCTGTTCTGCTCCTCAATCTGTGGTGAATCCTCACCCCCTGCACGTTTAACCTACACCCCAGTTCTTCTATGTAGAAGAAAAAGCCACCTCCCGACCTCTAGATGAGTGGCCTGCCAGGCACCATCAGGAGCACTAACTCAGCACAAGATCCAACCAGAGTTGTGACACTAAAATTCTCAGCTGGCTGGGAACCTGACACCAGCTAAGACCAGGCTTATCCTGGTTCCCAAGGGAACCTCTTTTGGGGTGTCCTTTCACAGGAAACAAGAATGGTCATTTCTTTTGGTCATAAGCAGATCAATCTGGGCACCACTTCATCATTCCTGTGCTGACTGTAGCCTACTTCCGTCACCTTCTGGCCCCCTGAGTTTCCTCTGGCAAGTCCCCAGGACTTCCACATTGCCAAGGCCATGGGCTGGCAGCATCTCAGCTCTGCCCCCACTTGGCTTGTTTGGCAGCACCCACCTTTGTGCTCCACCCTACAGAGCAGCCACCTGAACGGATAAAGGCAAAGCCAGAGCTAGTCTTAAAAGTTTTTCCTGCCCCCTCTGCTCTGGTTTTCCCCACCCCCACCTCCACCCCTTTCCCTTCTACAACAGGGAGAGTGATACCAATCCAAGGAATGGAGCTGAAGATGGGACTTAAGTACACAAAGCCCAAGGGAAGAATACTGAATACGTGGTAAATGGCTATTTCCTGGGGGAATGGAATGTTCTTCCTTACTGAGGGTTCCTGGAGGCACCATGTAAAAACTTCAGGATCAGAATGAAAAGGGCTATCCAATACTTTTTTTTTTTTTGAAGATTTATGTATGCATACAGAACTGGGTACAGGCCAGAGGTGCAAGGACAGTGAGAGGATTCACCAGAGACAGAGTGGGGAGCAGAACAGGCAGATTGAAGTACACTGCTGAGGGGAGCAGCGGGAGAGACAGGAGAGGTCTGCCACAACATGTGGGTCAGTCAGCTCCCTGGCCAAGAATTGAACTTGTGCTGAAGCAGTTGTGGCAAGCTTCGCAGTGCTGCACTTTAATCAGCTGCACCACCAGGGAAGCCCTGGGCTACCCAGTACTATTCAGGGACCATAACTGAGTCCCAGGGAGGAAAGTCACTGAAGAACAACCCCTGATCCATCTCAGTAGATTAGGAACCCCTCTTTGGCCCCACACTTTGCAATGTGTTCCTGCCCCACACTCCCAGTGCAGCACAGATCACAGCAAACATCCTGATATGTTGTATATCATAATCTGAGTTTGCAAGCTGCTGTGTGTCCCAGAACCAATGCACAACTTCTGTAAAAGAGTGATGAATGGGTGGGAAACAGTAAGCCCACTGCCAAAGTAGGCCTGTCATAAGAAACCACTCTAGTGGGATGTCAGCAACCAACCCACAAGGGGCCTGTGGCCCTAATATCTTCCTACCATATTGTGAAGTGGGCCTCCATTATCTGATTATCCTCCCAGTTTGGCCGCATCCTTCTCTCTTCATTCTTAATGTTTGTGGTCCTAGGGCTAGACCTCACCTTTCTTCTCTCTCCTTGGGTGACAGAACTGCTGCATCTGTGCAGACACTTATCACCTTCCCTGAGCCAGCTTCTTCCTCTTCTCAGAACAGCAGAATCCACCTCAGGGAAGTGACTATGCCAGCAGCCTTCAGTAGTGTAGCCAGACCCCACTAGGCTAAGGTGAGAAGGCGAGGAGGGCAAGGCAAATGGAAGAACCAAACTGTGATCCAGTTCACAATCATAAATGGAAGGTAGTAGGAAAGAGCCTGTGGCTGGAAGAATCCAGATGAAGGGAAGGTTAGGATGGAAAATGGAGTCAGAATACAGAGCTAAGGACACAGTCAAGTGGGTAGGAGCATGTGTGGTGGGGAGTAGAGGGTGGCAAGGAAGAGCAAGATCCCACCTATAACCCTTCAGAAAGCTGCATGCCACTCAAGGTTGCCTGAGTAGGGAGAATTCTTTTGGCAACTGATTCCAAGCCTGGTACAGTGCATGGCAAATAAATGGAAAGGTTAAGTTCAAAGTCCCGCTGTAGCACTCCTGTCTGTAACACAGAGACATTGGTGTGTCTGGTGCACAGAGAAAATAAGGTGAGACACATGAGATAAGAGGACTGTGGTATTGCATCTGCCTTTCCACCCTCTGGAACAAGTAGGACTCTGCTGCTGAGAATTCCCTGTCCCCACCTTCCCCATCTGCACCATATACCTCTTACCTGTACCCCAGTTCTTATATGCACAAATAAATAAATCTTTAAATTAAAAAACAACAACAACAACAAAACAACTAGGGTACAGGCCAGAGATGCAGGGGTGATGAGAGGATTCACCAGAGACAGAGTGGGGAGCAGAACAGGCAGATGACTGAAATACACTGCTGAGGGGAGCAGCGGGTGAGTTAGGAGATGTGGGTCACGTCTCTAGCCGGAGATCAAACTCATGTTGCAGTGGCTACGGATAGCTTCAGCTTTAACCTGTTGTGCCACCAGGGAAGGCCAGTAGATGTCTTTTTAAAATCAAAATTGAGATTATACCTCACCAAAGAAGCCTAGTGATACATTCTTGCCCCACTCTCCCAAAATAAAGAAAACCTCAGCATGAGCAAAACCACAATGTGAAACCTGTTTTACATGTCTTTGCTGGGTTAGTGACCTGGACTAAGCCCCAAGAGGAGCTTCTGTCCCTTGTGTCTATCAAGATTTTCTGGGCACAGTTTATAAAAGACCCAAGTTTAAATTATACATGTTGTTTTATTAATAAGCAAGTTCTTCCCTACATGCCTAAACAAATTGCTCAAGCTGCAAAGTGAAGAGCAGCAATGGGGCTGTCACAGGCCCATCCTGCAGCCACAGCTCTCCTCACCACTCTAAGCCATGTGGACTTGCCCAGGAAGTCACAGAACTGGCTACAGCCTCTGGCTCTGGGCTGTGCCAGGTATTCCTTCCTTGGTCCTCACTCCTGAGCACTAAAGGTTTGCTTGGCTGTCAGGGTCACAGGTGGGAGGGCTCTAAGGTTTCCAGAGTGGCTTCACCAGGAACCCCATCACCGGGTCTCTTGGAGTGCAGGTCATCAAGGGCACAGAGTTGCACTCCTTGCTGGGCAAAATGGGCCCAGAATGTGGGTGCAGTGAGGACACGCAATTCATGCAACCGCTCCCAAGAGCAGGAAAAGGCATCAGGGCCCTCACCACAACCCCCGGCTGGAGGCACACTGGGGTAGCCCGGGTGCGCCATCAGTTCGGCCGTCAGGACATGGCCCTCCGGTATTCCTTCCAGGGCCCTTGCCAGCGCCCCTGACACGCGGTGAGCGGACATGTGCCGGCCGCAAGTGCTCAGGCCCAAGAAGGCATCGGTCCACCTATGGAAGGAGGAGGAGGTGTTTAAGCAGTAAGCAGTGGGGAACAGAAGGACCTGAGAGGCGGGACTAACCCCGGGCAGACTTATCTGGGATGTGTCTCGACCCTCCAGGCCGAGGGCTGGGCTGGGCAGGGGGCAGGAGAGCTCACCGTAGGCCGTGTCTAGAGAACGGGCCGACCGCTGCCCGGGCATCGCGCTCCACCGCGCAGGCGAAGACGCGCGCGGACGTCTCCAGCCACGAACAGCCAGCTACCCCGCGCTCTAGCGGCAGCCGCGTGAAGCGCACCCCGTAAGTCTGCAGCGCCTCTGCGAACACCTGGCACACACCTGAGAGCCAGACGGGGGTCAGGGAGGAGCAAGTTCTGCCACCTGGGGCCTTTCCCACCCCATCTGGGGGCACTGCTCCCTACCTAAAAGCAACACCCCAAATATATGAACCTTTTTTATTTTAATCAAACCCACTCACCTGGGAGCACGTGCACGTGCTGGTGTCCGTCCACATGAGTAGGGTCCCTACCCAGTAATTCCCGGAAGCGACTCAGCTGGGCTTCCAGTTCTTCGCGAACCTGGAAGTAGAGGACTTTAGGCGCCTTCAACATCCGGCCCCAGCCAGGGAGGAGGGCCCTGTCCACGTGCCTCCTTGTTAATTTTCCAGTGTTCGAAACAGGCAAGCATCCAAGCGCCCAACTCCGGCCACTCCGGGATTCATGGTACCCTCGGGGCGGCGCTTTGGAAGTGATTGCCAGCATCCTCCAGCAGCCGCACTTCCGTACCTGGGGCAAGGCCACGCATCCGGCTGCCACTGCCTCCCGGAATCCCATCTTGCCGAGGAAAAATCCTTCAGGACTGAGCAGAGAAGAGGCACCGCGGCAGGCTGGGCCCACAGGGCGGCCCTCGGACAGGTTAGCGTGGAGACCCGTAGGGATTTGGTGCCTGAAGGCGAAACGTGAGCAGGAGCACGGGCGACCACTGGGCGAATGGCGCCCTAAGCCGCCCGGGCCACGTAGAGGGCGGCTCCTCACCTGCGGGCCAGCTCTGCAGCGCTCTCCGCTGCTGCGCCATTGACCAGAAGGGAAACGCTGGTTACGGCCCCCGCCAGGAAGGCCTCTACGATGCCTTCATCCCGCCGCGGGCAGTAACCAAAGTCATCCGCGGTGACCACCAGCCGCACGCGCGGCCGGGCCATGGGTGCCCGCGCGGGCGCCGGGGGATTTGAGGGGAGTAGCGGGGTAGTCTAGGCCCCGCCCCCTGACGTAACCGAAGTCACGCCCAGAAGCGGCTGCACTTCGTCTTTGTTCGCGCCATCTACCGGTTCAGGTGTGGTCTACAACGACCCACCCCCACTGCCGTTCTCTGTGTGCTCTACCCTAATGAGAACAAGTCTCCATTTAATGCAAATTGGACATGACTGCAAAAATATTCTACATGTAAAATACAGGGAAAAAATCTCCCTTATCTTTCCCAGCGGTGACCATTGTTACCTTTCTGGATAGAATCCTTCCAATAGCTTGTCTAAACAAATAATCATACCTAATCACCTCCCCATCCCAAAGATAATGATGACCACACCCATGTTATTCTTGTAATGTTTCATTTTTTTATAGTGACTATGAACATTTCCATATTTTTATCAGTCGTTTATAGTTCTTCTTTTACAAAAAAGAGGCTTTTTCTTAATTAGTAAAACTTCTAAAAAAGAAAGTAAAATAAAGTTTCTATCAATGCCTTCATTTGAGAAAGCATTAGCTCCTTTCTGTTTCAATCTCTTGAATTCTGTGCAAGACTACAACTTTTACATTCCTACCTTCATTTTTCTCTCTGTGGCCTAGAAAACTTTCCTTCTGGATAACTAAACAAATAGCCACTGTGTTTGACAGCCAGAGTTTCATCATGATGTAGCTGTCTTGATCTTCCCAAAGGAAAGTATATTATGTCCAGTCTATGAGACTGGTCATGTCATTCCTGTTTTACACATTAGGAAACTGAGACCCAGAAAGGAAAGTGACTTGCCCAAAGTGACTGTGCCAGAAGTGGCTCTGGGGCTACCCTTGAATGAAGTTCTGGGTATGCATCTGGGCCTACCCTGTCCACTTGACCTTGGCTGTTCATGGGCAGAGAGGGCAGCGCCAAGCTTTAGAGAAAAAAATACTCTAAAAGTTGAAGGTCTCAAAAATCCCTTCCCCAAGCTGTTAGCATAAAGATTGTTATATTTACTTGTGATTGTCAGGCCTAAACCATCATTCTTCACTGGAAAACTGAATCCTGAAAAAACCAGATGTCCTAGGGATTCAAAAGTAGGAACTGATATTTCTTGAGCACCCAATGTATTAGAAATATTAGAACTTAGGGCCCTCCCTGATAGCACAACGGGTTAAAGTACAGCACTGTGAGGCTATCTGCAGCCACTGTAGCATTGTTACAGGGCACCCCAGTGTGAATTGGGCTGCCTGTCTGTGGGTCCTCACCCGTGTGCTTAAAATTTAGTTGTACTGCAGGCACACACAAAAGGGTCAATGATGGGTTTATTTACAAAAAGAGGAAAGGAAAAGGAACAACCCAGGGAAAGAGAGATATAAGGTAACTAGAATATCTTACCAGTTGCCTCTCCCCCCAGAGCTACTGAAAAATCATTCCCTATTTATCCCCCAAAGTCCCAGAATGCCTGCTTAGCTCTGCCCTTGGGGTCTTCACAGTTCTCTCCTTGGTACTGCTGGGAGTTGTAGTTTCCAATCACTGGAGTAGGGGGGTGGAGTCCAGAAAGCTGGAGTGAAGTCCACAAAACTCTGAGTTCCTTCAGGACATCCTTCCCCTTAACAGCATGAATTTGATTGCTGGTCAGAGGGGTGACCCATATGGCACAGCAGACCTCACCTGACCTGCCCACTGCTCCCCTCAGCAGTGTGTTTCCATAGATCCTCCTATTCTGCTCCCCACTCTGTCTCTGGTAAATCCTCTCACCTGCTTCACACCTCTGGCCTATACCCCAGTTCTTATATGTGTAAATAAATAAATCTTTTTTTTAAATAAAAGAAAGAGATTAGGGGTGTATGACTCAGTTTCTACACCCAAGGAATGCAACTGGTAGACAATTAACCACAAGATTTCAGCATAGTCTAGGACAGGATTTTCAGTAAATTCTGTTTGGTGTGTACTGAGGGGGAGGTCTTTCAGTAGGGTGCAGGAGGAGTTACTGGGCAGTGGGGGAAAGTAGGGTGAAATGATGAAGATACAGGCCTCTTATTGGGGTATCCCGTACGCTGTATGACATTTTTATTTAACTTACATACTCCCATATGGAAGGATACTCAACTCTTTACAGCAGAGAAGCAGAAAGTTTGAGTCATCACACCCAAAGGAAACAGCAGAGCTAGGAATTGAAGCTACATCTATGACTCAGAGCCGGCATCTTCCACTAAGCTCAGGCAGACTGCAGAGTGAAAAGGGCTTAAGAAAGATCCACCGGGTTGTTCACAATGGGCAGAGAACTCTGGTAAGGCGCAGAGTAGGAGGCCTAGGATAGTGCAAAATTAGATGTACAGAGGCTTGGTCCCTTCAATTCCCCTAAGATCAGGTGTTGAAAGAGAATCCGAGGGTTTCCTGCCTAGCAGAGTCGATCCCGGCGTATTCCTCTCCCCGCTGCCTGAGAGAATGAGGGCCGGGCAGTCGGGAGATGCGGGGCGGAGCCAAAGTGTCCCCGCCCCACGATTGTGCGGCTCCGTTGAGAGCCAATCAAAATGCCTCATGCAAATGAGAAAGCAGGTAGCCTGTAGGAAGACCCCAAAGCACAGTGTCCCCGCCCTCCAGTGGGCTCAGAACGCCCTGGCTTGGCAGCGGGTGAAGCGCAGACTGTGGGAGCGGGATGATTCTGGTTAGCAGTAGATACAAGGGCTTCCCAGACTCTGGGAGGAGATCTGGGAGGGTCGCATATACTCAACCCTAGAGGGTTGGGAGGCAGGATACAACGATCCCTCATCCCTGATGATTCTGGTTAAAGGCGGTGCCCAAATGCGCGGAGGTGGAGGGAGGACTAAGGTATGGGGAGACTCCTAGTAAAGGAAGGGCAGATGCATGAAGTTTGAGAGTGCAGGAAGTGAGGGAGTTAGAAAACCGGTCACCACTGGCCAGTGGTGGACCAACAGACTCAGGAAAGCTTGCTTAGAGACCAAGGGGAAGCCTCACACTATTTACCTACCTAGCACAGAGAGGAACTTCGGTGTCTGTGTTGCAGCACTGAAGAGAGAGGTGGCAGGCATTGGACCTGGTCATCAGCACCATGACCAGCTGCCGACACCACTCCGGATACTTGGCGGATGATGAGGCTGGCCACACCACTTATGTGGCTCAGGTAAGTGTGCTCAGCAGGGTCCTGATCCTCAGATCCCCCAATATGTTCCCCACCAACTCTGGTACCCCAGATCATACAGCACCCTCTTTGTTGTCTTCCTTTGATCACCTTTCTGGGCCTCTTAGTGGTGGCTTTATCACTGTGACCATTTTTGACTCCTGTTGGGTGCTAATCACCTACAATTCATTCCCTGTGTATCCCTGACCTCCAGCAGCCTGGAGAAGAACTTAGTGAAATAGGATCCTAGATTGTGAGTATGGAATCCACTGAAGGCAGCCAGCAGGAGCACAGGGGTCATCCCAAAGGTGATCAGTTTAGAGCAACAATGGAGACAGGCCTGGCCTGCTCTGTGGACATATGAGGAGCACTTGTGGGACTCAGAAGGGTTTGTCATTGCCTTTTTATGCTCCACTGTAAAGGCAGAATAGGCTTTCAGACTTGGCCAGATCTTGTGTACATAAAATGTATAGGCCAGGGAAGTATTCATGGCAACTCTAAATAGTAGAAGCTCACTTTGCAGAAGAGCAGATTGGATCTCAAAAAGGAAAGGAGATATGCTCATGGATATATGCTATGGTCATATACCCTGAAGGTGGCAGAGCCAGTGTCCAAACCTATTGCTGCCTTACTGCAAAATATAGTTCCTTCTGCTGCCCACTCCTTACCTAGATCCTGATGCCATAGGAGGACCTCAGGGACCCCTTACCCTGTGATCTTCTCTGCCAACTATGATATACCTTTTGCTCATGTGCAGCCACCTAAGAAGCCACTGTTCCCAGAAATGGGGCACACCTCCAAGCTTGGCCACATGCCACACCCACCACCGACTTATGGCCCCAAAGGCAGCTCAGGACTCCACAGTCACTGCAGAAAACCAAAGGGCCCGCAGCCCTTTGGCAGCTTTCTGGATTTCCTTGTCGAGGGCCAGGTGTTGGATAGCCTACAGACGGTGGTGGAGGAGGCAACTGAGCGAGTAGCCACTATGAAGACAGAGGCTGGTGTGCCGCTGGTGGAGGTGCAAGACCCAGTGGAGGTGCCGTGTGGTCAGCAGCGCAGGCGTGCTCGGCCCAACCTTAGTACTGTGCTCCGGCACCGTGCACAGCCCAGCCTCTGCACTGGGGTCCCCAACAACTACCCATCTTGTTCCAGTTCCATGTCTGATTCTTCCAGCAGTTTCATGACTGGCTGGATGGGTTCCCATAGCCAGGATGGCTACCTGGGTTCCCGTGGTTTAGGCGCACTGCCACCCATAAAGGACAGGCTCCTGATGGAGAAGAACCTCAAACGGCTGCTGCGACTGGAAAATAAAGGGGTAAGATTTGGAACCATGGTACAGGAGGGGGTGTGGAATGGATCCCAGTCCAGAGCCTAGGGCCAGGGCCACGCCTGATTTGGCTGCTCATGGACACCTCTGAAATTCCCCCTTTTTCTGCAGAAAGGCCTGGGTCTACCCAGATCCCTGAAGGACTCCCAATTCTGGGAGTCACTGGATAGCCAGGCTAGCAGCCAGTGGACCTCGGAGCAGCCCCTGTCGTGGTTCTCAGGCCTGATGGGCTCCACCATGAGCACACCTGAAACATCAGAGGCAGGGATTGGAGAGCACGATCTCATTTTCCTCAAGCGAGAGTTCAACAAGGAGATCCAGTCCTTGCTGAGCCAGCCACTGTCCTTCAACCTGCCTGGCTACTGTTCTTTCCGAGAGCCCCACCGTACCCTCGACTTCCTGGCAGAGCACCACCTCTTCCCTGACCTGCAGCATGTCATCAACCAGGCTGTAGACAAGCTCTGTGGAGCCCGCCGCCACGATGGCTGTCCTCTCTTTCCATCAACAGAATGGGAGGCTGCCAGAGGGCCTAATTCCAATCCCAAGCAAGGTTCCAAGCCGATAGCCTTTACTGATGAGGAGGAGCCCAATGAATTCAACGAGTCAATACCCAACACAGCCTCCAACTCTAAGATGGTTTGGAGAAAGAGCAACAAGGGCAGAGGACGGGGCAAACCTAAGGAAGGTGGTTCCCCTGTGTCTAGTGCCCAGGTGACCACCAGATTCACACTCAAGGTGACACCTACAGAAAAGTCCAAGGTCCCCAGCCCTTCCCTCTCCCCCAAGCAGGAAGTGCCTGACCAGGATGGTGAAGTAAAAAAATCACCCATGCCCACTTCTAGGCCCTCCCTAACCTTCCTGCAGAGACCTCAGCCCTGGCGAAGGCTGCACCTCACATTGCCTTCACCCAGGACTGTGGTAGAATTGCCCTCTGATCAGACCCACCCCACAACCCCAGTCATAGCAGCACCACCCTCCCCCTGCATTCTGTCTTGCCACTGCC